CTCGAGAAAAATGATTTCTATAAGATCATGTCTAATGTTTAGTAGCGTGATGTTATCAAGTATTTTTCATCTTCTATGGAATTTGAAGACGTGTTTTAATTTTCGGGGAATAGATTGCTTAAGTTTTCATCGAAATAAATTGGTCAGAAAGAAATTCGGATTGCATGCCAGCGTGGTGGGATCTCTGAATGTGATAGATGAATGTATGTTTTAGGAGCCTGAAAAATGTGGATTAGCGCCTGGAGCGCAGTTGGTTTCGCTGTGTATTGGCGACAGTCGATTAGCAAGTATGGAGACCGGGACGGCTCTGACACGAGCGGTTAGTCCGAATTTTTTGACTGTCGTTGATGGTTATCATTAATAATATCAATCATATCAATAACGGTAGCAGTAATAAGAGCAATGGGGTCATTAAGTTACATCACAGCAATGGAGTTGATTTTTTGAGAAGCCTTCATAAGAATTAATATCCGATGACATTAGTGAATAGAAGGGAAAGAAAAATTCTTGACATAGTTCATTTCAGATCCAACGATGTACTGAATTATCGGTTGATATCGTTAATTATTCATATGGCGAAGCTACGGATTTCCCCAATACAGGGTATTTGTTTTTGGATGTTTTATATTTAGTGATCCGTATTGGTATTTCCTTCGTGCTGAATATACATTTTATTGATTACCGTTTTTTGTATTCACTCAATCATTTGATTTTCCCACTTTAACCTCAGAAGATTTCAATCGTTTGAGAATGTGGGCAAAATCAGTTCAATTTTCAGTCGTATAATCTCAGCATTGGATCGAATGGTCAGAAAGCATGATATTATTTTCATTTCTTCTGCTGGCAATAATGGACCAGCGCTATCGACGGGTGGGTCACCGGGTTCAACGTCCTCGTCCGCCATAGGTGAGGCCGCGCTGTCTTGTTGCTTTTACTCTTGGTTTTGAGTTGTTTCGATCTATATTCTCCAAATTTTTTGAAGTGGTATTCACTAGAGATAAATGATTGGATTGAAATGCTTTCTGGGATATTTATTAGAGTAATTAATTGTTCTGATATGGTAATCATTTCAATACGATAAATTTTCAGGTGTTGGTGCGTATCTTTCCTCAGAGATGATGGAGACCATGTATAGTATGCGGGAAAAAATACCAGCCACATTGTATCCGTGGTCATCTCGAGGACCAACGTAAGTGCTTTTCTTCTAGTCACGTACATTGATTAAATGATGTAAAGCCTACTCAGTTATATTTGTAGCTCTTCACGATAACCTCAAATCATAAGCTAAGAATTGCATTTGTCAAAAAATTTTTGTCGTGGTGCAAGAAATGGACATACGCTTGACAATTGAAAACGTCGCACAGCTATCGGCGTTCCTCGAATTGATGCATTTTTTTTGCCTTCTGCTTCTGACAACATAGAATTGAGTTGTGTGAATCTGTGGTTTGTGTTGAAGTTGAAGTTCTGAAGTTACGAGTTGTCCCTGGCGGATACAACACNATACAACACGTTGATTTCATTTTCAGTGTAGATGGTGCGTTAGGTGTATCAATATGTGCTCCAGGGGCCGCAATAACTGGAGTTCCGAAATTCACTTTAAAGGGAAGTCAGCTAATGAATGGAACTTCAATGAGTGCACCGAATGCTACAGGGACTGTGGGTTGGTGTTTTTTTGGTTTATTATGATTACAATTCCATTGGTCCCAGATTTAGAAAAAAATTTGAATTGTCATTTGCATTTGCGGCAAGCATTCGAATTTATTTATGAGAGTCTCATTGCAAACATTTATAAAT